AGTGTTCAGTGTGTGTGAGACAAAGGGAATGAGGGAGTCAGTGCAGGAATGTGTGTGTGCTAAAGAGACACCTTGTGAGAACAGCCAGGCCAGGGATTCACCGACACGCTCGTCACGTTCCACAATTATGTTGAATAATTAAAACGTTTCATTAACTTGCTCATTTCCTGTTCGGCCATGTTTCAGCTCTGACACCGGCAATTAAAGACAGAGCCCGGACTGTACGCCCCTCTCATTCGGCCCGTCGCCACAGAGGACCACCTCATGTCTTCTGTGTGAGAGCAGGGAATCTGACAGGGGGAAAATGAGGAGCTTTAGCAGTTATCCACCTTACTTAACTGTGCTCAACACTTCAGGGCAAAAGCACACGGGGGCTGACAATGAAATCTACGTGCTCAAGGTGAAATCGTGCAAATCTGGATTTTGACTTTTTTGTTAGTATTAATGCAAATCAGGGAGTGAATAGTTTACCTTTGCGAGCCAGCCTTAGGCACTGAGACATCCACCTTGAACACCTTTACATATTGATAGCTTTTTCAAGCGGTGTAATTTGTTCTATAATATTTTCTGATACATGCAGTCAAGTGAACAAATACCTTATTCCTGTAAGCTAGACATCCATTACATAGTATGGATTCAGCCCTCTTTCATGATGTGATTTTGAAGAACTGCACCTGCTCGAACACCGAAAACACAAACATATCTTCACAAATTCTTGGCTTTGTAAAAAATCTGGGGAATTATTTACTGAACATTAAAACCATAATTAGCAAATTCCTGAGCTGTCCTAGTTACGTAAGACAGCTCTTTTTGTCTTTTGAAATTGGTTCACTGGAAGAGGAGCCGTGTATCTGGCGAAATGGGGGGAAGGGGGCCATGTTTATCCCAGAGCCTCCCAATGCAGTCTCTGGCACAAAGCTATCCTCCCCATTGAGCTCATGCGCAGTACTTATACACCCCAATAAACACGATTAGCATGGCAGACTGTAAATATGCAAATGACAAAAGAGACTTGGAGGGGAATGTTTATGCTGTGAGCTCCGTCTAGCACAGCTCCTCCCCCAACCCACCTTGCTTGTGAAAACCATGATGAGGTTTATTGAGATGGGGTCTCTGTTAAAGCTTTCTTTGTTTCTTTTCTTTCATAAAAGAAACTCAACCATGTAATTAGAGCTTTGAATAGAAAGGCATGCCTTTACCGTCCAATTTTTATAGTAGCTGCTATTTATAGCCGCAGACGGCGGGCAGCTGCAACAACACACGGAAGCCCTGAACCCGTATTGTGCACAATACTACTACCAGTTCAGTAAAGCAAGCTTGTTGCTTCTCCTACACTTTCGTCATATAGAATACAGACTTCAGTTTGCTGTCCTGAGGGTCTATGATTACTATGACTGTTCCATATCTGGAAGAAGACGTCTGAAGCCATCAGAGTCAGGCACCTCAAAGCCATATCTGTGATGCAACCTGGAATCTGGCCGACTTCAATGACTTACATATCGTTTATAAAAAAGGCTAAAGAGACACTATTAGGCTTTTTGGAGCTTCCCTTTCCTGTAGTATATCAGATGTCAGTTTTAGTGCATGTAAACGGTCTGCAAAGGCTAAAATCCCAAAGTTCCCTCCAGAGGGAGCTTCTCTCCCACACACTCCCCCCCTGCCTGAAACGCCTCCATTGGAATTTGTTTACTTCCATAACATAGTGACGTCACTATGAAACACTTGCGCTTCTATCGGCGAGCACTCAAACACATTGTACGGCTAAGGGGACATCTCTAAGGGGTTGACCAATGATACCAGGGCCGGTCAGCAAACCAATCAGAAAAAGGTGGAAAGAGGGGCTGCAGCACAGGCAGTATGAGAAGAATAAAGAGCTTTCTGAACATTAAATCATGGAAACATGTCACAGTAGAGGCGCAAAATACAAATATGAACCTGGAAATGAGCAGAATATGTTATTTTCAAATGAAACCAAATAACACAAAGCTCTCCCAACAGCTTAAGATACATTTTTATCAAGACTGCATAACTGTGAAATCCAGACTCATGTCTTATATTCTACTATTCCACCAAACTAATCCAGTTATGAAAAATAGAGCCCTGTTCAATGTCAATGAGGAACACTGACAGTTTTATAAAAGCATTTACTATCCAGTCTTTAGTTTAACCCTAAAATAGTCAACCTTTCTATATTTTGAGATTCTCTCAGTCTAGTAATACGCTATCATTCACCTGAACCTTGTCAATGTGCAAACCTGTGTGGGCGTTTGTGTATAAGAAACACACACGCAGACAAGCGTAACGGCAGCGGTCCATCTGACGCAGTCCAGGCCGCTTCATGCAAAGTCAAGCGTGTTCGTCCTGAAGACTATCAGCTCTCCGGGGAGAGAGGCCATCGAGCAGCATTATCGACATTATAGACGCCTCAGCCTGGAGATAGGCTTCACATCGATCCCCTGATTAATTACTATCTGCAGGCAGCAGCAGAGTAAGGGGAGGGGAGGGAGGGAGAGGGAACTAAGTGAGAGAGGGAGGTGATGGAAAATGGGGAGAGGGATGCGGGATTGAGGAGAGAGAGGAGGGAGAGAACACCTTGTACAATCTATGAATATCAGCTAAAGGCTACACAGTAATCTTCCAGGTGGAATAATATTGTATTGATATATAGGTAGCAAACCCTTATCTGAGCTGCAAACACCCCCTACCACACAGCCAAGGACAAAATGAAATTCACACATTATTGGTGTGGAAACAACTCGCAAAGACAAGTAGAGGACGCTGGAATAGCCACTACTGAATTCCCAAGCATGTTATACTTTACACAACGCAAATGAAGACAAAAGTATATGTCAAATCTATTCTGGAGTCTCTGTGCATGGCTAACGGTCAGAAGTGGACGTAGAGTGGACAGAGTGGCTAACATTAATGAACTCCGGTTAGATCCTTTGGGCTACACTCCTCTTCCTCCCCAGAGACTGTGTTGCGCTGTGTGGAACATACGTCAATAAGCTGTTACAACGCCAGGGTAAGGGCTCCATTAGGGCCAATTCTTACGAGAGCCTCGTACATTGAAATGGCAACAAAAAACAATTTTTGTTTAGTTTGTTTTGTGCATCATTTTAGTCCTCAGAGTGAGGGCTGCCACTTTGACTCCTCAGTATAGAGGCTCTTCATTCAAGTCAATACATGTATTAATGAAAAGGTTTGGTTTTGTGCTCAGAGTGATACATAATAACTATTCATCTTCAGCTGAACTCCTTGGTGAGTACTGTAGTTCGTCCGGCAGTGGCTCAGTCAGTAGGGGCTTGGACTGTGAGCCGTAGGGTTGCTAGTTCAAGTCCCGAACAGTTTAAAAATATGGAGTGTGGACTGCTACTTGGAGATTTCCCAGTTCACCTCCAAGGCACCGGACACCACCCCCCCCCACTCCCATTGCTCCCTGGGCGCTGTCCAATAGCTGCCCACTACTACTATAGGGTAAAAGGCAGACTACACTTCGCTGTGATTGATTTGTGCATGAACATCCGATTCTATATTCTGTTACTGCTGACTACTGTTTGCTCAGGAAGTGAGCCGGGCATTCAAATGTTTGTAGTGGCCAAACAGTGGTACTACAGCTTCTGTAATGTCATGGCCCCAAAAAAAAATGTTCACCATCCACTAACATCGGGAAAGAGATGTGTAAATCAGCATATATTTTCAAAACAACTACCATGTATGAAAATAGAATATACCTTAATTACAACATTAGGTCCTTTACTGTAAGTTGTGAAAGGAGCTACATGTCAAATCCAGAGTTACTTTCCCTCTACAATCATCTAAAATGTCTAAATAAGCCAAGACCAGCCGTGACGCTGCAGATTGGGGGAGGGGCTTAGGGGAAATGCAAGATGAAATGCTCTCTGGACCCAGATCCCTAGTCCTGGTAATATTGTACTTGAGTCTGGCCCTTTTGGCTTAATGCGCCACTGAGTAACTTTCATATGAATGAACGGGGCCCCGCCTCCAACGCTGTATCCAGTTTTCTTTATACATCCATGGAATTACGCAGGCACATTCAAGGTAGAGTGGTGAAGCCTATGCAGAAGTGTCAAAAACGGCAGTTAAATATACACTTAAGTCTGGTTTCAAAATCTCCATGACCCCATTGGTATTTTTTTTTACTTTGCAGCAGAAATCAATGTGTAACACATTTTTCTTCTATTTGTAATTTCCCCAACCATGACATCCGTCCTTGGCTGAATTTCTTAAAAAAATAGTTTTAAAAAAATGCTGGAAAGATTTGTTTCCAATGACAAAGAAAACTTTTAAACACAAAAAAAAGAAGTGTTCTACCTTCCGCCCACTCAACTCACCCGACAACAACTTTAAGGCAGTAGGCGTAGAAAGAGAGAAAGAGTTGTGCTGCATGGGTAATGAATGGATAATTGTCTGTCACGCTAAATATCAATAAGTGCATACGAGAAAAGCAATTATTTTACTTGTCTAGTTGGAGCATTATAAATTGACAAAACCTGCATATGTAATTTTCAGAATGTGAATTTGTATAAGACATTTTTGGTCGAAGAAAAAAAAATATGTTGGTGCTGTTTTCATCTTTTGTGACATTGAAGATGTCCAAAGAGACACAGAGTGAGGAATGAGGATAGAGAATGGAACAATCTCTGTGTGGCTGAAGCAACAGTAAGAAGGGAGGAAAGCAGAGGGACCAAAGAAAGAGCAAGAAAGAGAAATAACTGGCATCAAAACACACTTTGGAGAGTGTTGCTGCAGCGAGGGCAGCTATCACAGCGCAGAGGAGGAGTGAGAAGGGGACAGTTGATCCAGGCACTGTTTGACTGTCTCTGCCTCAGCACTTAGACAAGAGCAGGCCAATTTAGTGAGTGGGTGTGTATTAGTATGTGTTTGTGTAAACGGTTCCATTTTCCGCCTGTCTGTGGATTTGTGTTGCTTTTGTGTGTGTGTGTATCAGTGCAGTGCACTTTTTACATTTCACTGACCTGAAAAGCTCTGTTAATGCTGGATCCACAGGCACTAAGAGAGAGCGATAGAGAGGGGGGAGAGAGAGGGGGAGAGAGATTATGAACAGGACTGACTAGTGCATTCTAAATCCACAGGCTATTTGTATAACACATGAAAAGGAACCCGCTGAGTAGCCGATCATCGTGACTTCTAACGTGTGTAGGTTTACCATGAAATGAGTTTCCATTGAAACACTTCGTACTCGTAAATCATTTTTAGATGGTATCTCTGTCTTATGTTGATCATTATTATTTATAGTACTTCTAAGAGATATGAGATCCAATCTGCTATGAGCCTTTTTTTAAATATCAAGGTGCTTAGACAGTAGCTACACATGTGTTTCGGTGCATGCATGTGCAGATGGAATCTGATTGAAGGGGATTAGAGGATTGAATGTGCAAGCTATGCTCATAGTTGTTCTGTTAGGGTTGTAAACATTACATAATATAAAGAATATGTACACTTCAGTTTTCAGTATGTTGTTTTTCACAGTTTTCTTTATTTGTTACCACATTGGTTCTATCGAATATGTTACATGTTCTTGTGCTGCTTCTATATTGCTTTTATATGTCTGACACATTATTTATAATGCGCTTCGCCAACGGTAAAGATAGTGATTTTGTTCATGAAAGTTAATAATATTTAATTTATAAAATGATCCACGTTATACTTGATGTGTCTGTGGCGTGTAGAAGTATTCAGTCAATTAAACAAGTACAAATGATCTGTTCACATTCTGATATCAAATCAAATGAGGGAATAGGGAGTGATTGGACACAGCCTGGAAGACGATTAAAGTGGCAGTCCTCCTCTTTGTTCCCTCATTGGCCGACATGCAGAAGACACATGTAACCCAATCAAACAGGGGCTCATGGTCGTAGCCTTCACCACACAGTGCATGATCCTCTTGATGTCGGAACAATGGTCAACACCTTCTTTGTTCGGTCAAAGATGTTTGACATTTTCTAAAGTTAAATTAAATATGCATTAAAAGGATTAAAACATGGTCATTTAGTTTGAGATCCTTTAAACCTGTGAGAGTGGACTGGAGAGCAAGGACAAGGGCTAACGTGAGATTCTACTTGTTATATGTGACCAAGTACACAAAGGACCTGATACATACAAGTCAAAAGGTTTCACCAGTTCATCAGCTCAAACAGAGTTACCTCATTTGTTTATTTATAGTTCCAAAATGTGTTTTCACTTTGCACTATGTATCATTTTGTACGATTAGATATCACTGTATTTATTGGATTTCGAACAAAGCTCTTTAAATGCCTTTGGTATTCTGGTTTTACTGGGAAAAAATAAAAAGGGATAGAGGAAGAGAGAGCGGTGAGGAGAGGCAACCCAACTGTGACAGTCTGGGATTTGTGCAGTGGTGTATGTACAGTATGTGTGTGTTTGTGTGTGTGTGTGTATGTGTGGGGAAGGTCACGCTGAATGTCAGTGCCGCTGTGTGTCCGCGTGTGTCCGTGCAGATACCTTTGGAGCGTGTTCGATGGCGCTTATCGTCTGCACCCACCTCCATCTGCAGAGAAGGCGCAAACAAGCAGTTAAACACACACCGCGGAGCTGATCAATTATATTTAATTGGGATGTATGTTCCTTATTGCTCAGGGTACAGTATTACCCTTTGTCCAACAGTTAAGTGATTTAAAGACTAAGGTACATTAGGACCCCTGATATCTGACAGGTTTCTGTATAGATTTCTTGGGCAGTGTGAATGTGAATGAAAGGATCTCTTAAATACTTATTTTTTTTAAATAATATGTTAGTGTTAATATGGTGTTAAGTGTACTCAGTATTCCAGGAAATAACTTAAAACTAAAACAGATTATGCAAAGACTACTTTTTCAAACAGATCAAATTGTTTGTAAATTGAAAAAAGAGATCAAAAAAGTATTAAATGAATTTCCCTATATTCCGTTTTAGGAAGGAATATAAATCCCCATTTTGAAATGATGCAAATCCTATGTGAAGTATTTATCATATACTCCATCCATCTGTCTATTCATGAATGTGTGACCATCATTCTACCCATGTACTGCAGACATAACACCATTCAACATTAACAGCATGGTTCCCATTTATGCTGTCGCCTCCTCAATATTCCTGCTTTCATGCTCTTATTATGCCAGAGTAAGCATTATCCTCCCTTCCACCTCACTTTCATGTCAGTGCAACATACATCCCTCTAAAGGTAGGTCTCTCCCGCACCAACACATCATAAATTGTTGAGGAGCCTTAACGTCGCTCTGTTATTTCCAGATGTCCCTAAATATTCATGGTGCTGGGTTTGGACTCTGACGGGGGCCGTGGCCCTGTTTGGATGTCTCTTTTTATTAAACATGATTTATTAACACCACACTTACTTTACTGTAGAGCCCCTCAGCCTTAATGGTGTGTTTCTTTATGAATGCCAATAAATGTTTCAGCTGGAGAAAAATAAAAAGATGAAAGGCAAGGATACCTTGTAAATCTTATTAGCGTGGCAGGGAGGAAAAGACCTAGAGTATTTTGGGGAGGCTCAACTATACTATGTAGAAATATATGTTATTTATATATTTTCCATGAAGCTTAACTGTTGTTACCATGGCAATGGATATTAAAAGAAAAATAACAACTTATCAATCCAGTCTTCTCCCCTCTTTCAGGCACTCATTCAGACAGACTGAGTGTAGAGTACTGAGAGTGTGTACCTATGCGAGAAGTAACCTTGGTTTTTTCCGAAGTAGTCATGTGAGCAAAGTGGAGTTAGTCCTCTCTCAGTGAGCATCTCTCACCGGTCTTTGCTCTGTTTTATCAAAGCTTCTCTGGAACAATCTGCAGTACGAGCAAGAGCCCTCAACATGTGCAACTTTAAAGGGGAAGAGAAATCATGTCGGATACATAGGGTTTCTCAGCACATGGACTACTGTACGGACAGACGTTATTCCAGACTGCCCTAAATATCGGTAATATCTAACTCTTAATAGAAAAGCTCATATTCAATGTAAAGTCCAATTCATTTTACTCATAGTTTTTTTCTTCTATTTGAGTTACTGGGTGTTTCTCAATGTCGAGTACGCTTGCTTGGTAGCACATGTCTTCCGAGTCACTTGCTTCAGAAGCGAGGCAAGAATCCTTCCTAGCCTCGGAAAACGAAGAGTGGAACAGGCTAGCAAGTGTGCATCTGTGCGTCATATGAGAGGCCCCGCCTTACATTTTCCACCACAGATTTGGGGAAATTGGTCCGTGCGCAAAGCATTGTGGGGATTTTAAGACCGCGGGGTCTACACATGTGCAGCCTCGACATTTCTCGCTAGAAAGGATGCCGGGCTCGGTAGAATTCCAAGTATGCTGGACATTGGAACAGTCCTTCGACGGCACTCGATGACGTAGTATGCTTGAAATAGTGGCTCTGAAGCAGCTTTACTTGACATTGAGAAACACCCACTGCCGCTGTTTCTGTGCTGAAATACCCAGAGATCACTTGTCAATCATTGTGGGCGGTGCTGTAATGTATTTCTATTTGTTTCTGTAGGTAGTGCTCTGTTCTTCCTCTGTTTGCCCATGGAAGGTATTGTTCCTCCCACTTCTTTTCTAAACAAATGAGTTTTCATGCCGTTACAATTTTAAACTTTCGTGACAGGCATTACCATCACTTGTATCACAGTGTTTAGAAAAATACTATTTTGATTTAAAATTCTCCTGTTAATAAAAATAGAATAGGTAAATAAAAAAAATGGATTCCGAAAATTAAAGAATGACATAACAACAAAAGAGAAATAGTCCCAACCTGATGCAGAATGGCAGAAGCAGCATATCATCTGTTGACTACTATATGAATGCATGTTTAGATAAAGTGCACCCCCCTATGCGCGTACTAACAGTGCTTCTCTGAAGCCTCCAGACTCTCGCTGAGGGCCCAGGTTTAGAACATGGCGTCTACAACAAGAGAATCCAGCAGCAGAATGAAACAGCAGCAACATTTAGAGCAGTGGAAGTTTTGTTTCCTCGCTTCCTTCCCTCAAGGCTCTGTGAGAGCGCTGGACCCAGAGAGCATGCACGCCTCTGCGGCTCACCATATGTTGTAGAGCCATCATATTCTATCTGGCTGTTTCTCTCTCCTAGCAGCCCATGGGAAAATGTCACTGCTGTAATGAAGGTTAGCCTGCTTATTGAGGATTAGGAGGAGGCCCACTCCTTCTCTGTCTGCGTCTCAATTAGACCCCGAATCAATGGCGCATGGGGCCGGGTGAAAAACCACAGAGTCACGCTGATCCAAGCACCAAGGGTTGAGCTTGGATAGTTAGCAAACACATATAATGAAGCTAGATCCAAAGACAATTCTCTTCTGATTTCCACACAACCAGCAATTTATATAAAGTAATTTAAATACACCATTTAAAAACGTATTGGAGCATCTGAAACATGAAATGTTAAAAAGCTGAAAGCACGTCTGTTTGCAAGGATTTTTTTCATAAATCGTCAAATGTATTTAAATAACGTCAAGTTCTAGCCTACATCTTATAACAAATGACATCAGTCAATAATAACAAATAAAACCAATAAGAAATAACATCAGTCAATAATAATAAATAAAATCATATAAATAAAAGCATGAGTGTTTCGTGTGTGTGAGTGCATTTCATAATGTGTATATATGAGTGCATTTCAAGTGTGTGTGAGTGTGTTTCACATGTGTAGCATATATGAGAGCGTTTCACATGTATGTGTGAATAACTTTGGATTTCATATGTGTTTATGAGAGATTTTTACATATGTTTGTAAATGATTTTGGTTTCAGTTGTGTGTGTGTGAGCAGGCTCGGATTGGCCATCGAGAGATTCGGGACTTGAGAGTCTCCGGCTGTAACAGTCCACTACCGCCCGCGAGGACCCAGGTTCCATTCCGGCCTGAGGTCCAACAAATTAATTCTAAAAAAAAATAATAATAATCTCTCGTTCATCGCATCCATTCGCGACCCACCTATCACATCTCTGCGCCCAACCAGTGGGGCGGCCCCACACTTTGAGAAACGCTGCACTAAGTTAATGGTGGGACCACATATGCAACTTGATCGCAATTCAAATGACCCCCACTGGGATGTATTTCATATTCCTATCTAACATATATTGCCTCTGTGTTCTCCTGAAGTTGTCACCATGTTCTGTCATTTGCATCCATACATTTGAATTAATATGCAGCATATTTGGTGTGAGGGTTGACAAGAAAATGCTTGTTAAAGATTGCCATCCTTTGAAAATAAATGCATGTGAATGGAATGCATTTTTGGAAAAAGCAGCTGTCAGAAGGACAACTGTGTTTGTGTTGGTATTGATTGTACATTTGGACTCAAAATGAAAACAATATGTAAATTCCTATTCCTTGGGAAATAAAGTGGCAGAACCTATTATGAGGTGTCTCCGTCAGTACGTAGGACAGAGGAACGCCATCAGACACAGATCAATTGCAAAAGAAACAACTACAGAGTTGGTGCGGTTTGATGGAGAAAATGAAACATTATAAGAAATACAGCGATTGTTGTAATATGCGCTGAAACATAGAACAAGCATTTTGTATGTGTGTGTGTGTTTATCATGTTGATGATGGGGGGATGGGGGCGCACAGACATCTGTCACAACAATTCACATCGTTATCAGTTTCCTTTTGTTTCACCTTGAGGTTTTGGGAGACTGCGTTTCAGGCATATGGTGCCCAACCCAACACACACACACACACACACACACACACACACACACACACACACACACACACACACACACACACACACACACACACACACACACACACACACACACACACACACACACACACAGATTGGTATTCTGTGTACAGTGTAGCAGCATGCACACACCGAAACTGCACTGGCACTATCGAATTTCACTGCAAATAGGTATTTACGGCAGGCATCATCTAGTGAGAGTAAACACGTGTGCCAAACCGTAGCTAAGTGCATCTGAATTAGTGTGAAGGGCTGCGGAGAAAGCATCTGAGTGGGCGCTGACAGTCACAGTGAGAAAGAGAGTGAGGGTGATGGAGACAGAAGGAGAGACTACAAATCTGGGGAGTGATTCCTGACTCCTAGGGGAAATGGCTCAGGTGGGTGAAGCAGCAGTGCAGGGCTCTCACATGGTTAGAGTGGGATCAGAATACAATACAACCATTTATCAGCTGGTCCAGAGACAGCTGTTACAGTTCAGGATGGGAAGGATTTGTGTTTGTTACCTGTATGATCGCTTTGCAGCCTGAGTGGATCAAGTTGGATACTCTTCCTTTACAAAATCATGATTCTATTCAGCCTGATTTTCTTAATCTAAAATATGTTATCTTAGATAATGGCATTGTTGCTAAGAAGGGAACAGAATTCATTGAATTGTTTTTGGCATGGGCGTCGCAGCCATTATATGAGGGTGGGACAAGTCCCCCCCACTTTTTCAAATGATTAGTTTAGACCCCCCCACTTTTACCATGTGGAAAGTCCGTGCATCGGTCTCTCCACTCGCCGCACTTTGTAGAGCGCTGTGTCAGTGCTTCACTATCAAATCCATTCCACTTGCTTATTGAGAGAATGCCCAAATCAATGAAACTCCGTACCATGTTTTCACTGCTGCTTTGTACCAAGGCAGATTCTCCCATAGCGCGCGCATGTTCAAGGAGTGTTGCCATAGTTGGACAGCTCAGATCTGTTGTATGAAGCGATGCCGGTAGCGGAGGTAAGGCAGTAAAAGGCACACACACCAAATGTTCAGGAAATGGTTAATACAGCGAAAATCAAAGCTGACGATCTCTTGGTTTGATATGTTTTCTCCCCCGGACAACATGGACATAACAACATTTCAAAGAAGAGGAAAGTAAGTCTTCAGCTGGTAGTTAAACAGTTAACAGTGATGGCGGCGGCGGTGTCTCACTTCTGGAGAGGAGTTTCGTCTTTATGTCATGATAGAGAGATACAAATACTGAATAGTTTAGATGAGAAAAGGCATCGAAATGCCAGGTTACTAGTATTTATCATGTAAACAGGGAACATGAATAACCCCATCTCTCTGGGCCCATGTAAACTCCATGATGTCCATGTAGAGGCGCAGTCAGTGTGTTTTACTGCCTCAGTTCGATGAGAGATTATTTTCTGAGTTCTTTAATTTAGGTACTCTCTCTCAAAATGATAATGTGCATTATGTTTTAATTATACTTCTTATCATTCAGAAGCTTTTTGTGTGTGTTTATGTTTTACTGAGTGCTTATAGGCCATTTCCATCCCAGTATTCAGTTAACTGTTTATTTTCTGTGCACATTACATAGACTAGCTAATATTCTACCTACTGCTTGGGACTTTGAGTCTTCAAAATGTCCAATGTCACAGACTGGGACTTACTTTAGAGTCAGTTGTATTTACATTCAGTATGACTTGTTATGATTCAATGTGAAAGAGTATACTGCTCAATACATAATGATCACTTCACCCCTACTCTCTTGACATCTAGGCGCTTGAGAGTGAGTCAGAGGCAGAACACAGGGACAGTGGAGAGAGGTCCGTTGCTGAGGTGAGTGATGAAAGGGAAATTACAGTTTAGAGTCAATTGTGATGTGGACTCTCATCCCAGAATGTTAAGGAAATCAGTGGGGATATTGAACAGGAAACATTTCAGTCAAGGGGCATCATGTGACCAATATAGACAGAAGAGCAACATTTAAGTCAATGATACCATTCCTAGGTGAACTTAACATCGGTATGGAGTCAGATCAGTCTCAATGTTAATAAATGCTCACAGAAGGATTCACAAATGTGTTTTGCAATTTATATATAAATGACTCTCCACAACAATATCTCTCAATGCACTCACACATATTTATTGTTGTATATAAATGTACAAAAAATGGGCATTTAAACTGCTTTTTATTAATTCAAAGACGGCTCTGAATTAGGGCTGGGCGATTTTTTCGGTTTTCACGATTAATCGCATTTTTACTTTCCTACGGTTTGTGAAATGGCTAAACCGAAAAACCGCGATTTTTTTTGGATCTGTAATCAAAAAGCTCCTCAAAAACACTATCGAAACAGTTCCTGCCGTTGCTACGTTAGTTCAAACAGTAACAACGCACTATTTTTCTTAGCGGATGCATGTCAATTTAAATCAATACAAAACTATTTTTTAAATCAATAAAATCATTTTCTAAATCCATAAAAGCATTTCAATTAATATTGGGAGTCATGTCGTTACTTTGCTGAGAATGTGGCCATGTAATAAGCGGGATAATGTGCACATTGCACATTGCATAATGTGCCTTCATGCCGATCCCTCCGCAAAAAAAACGGCTCGTTCGCGGGCGAGAGCCGGCTCCCGTCGTTCACTTAAATAGTTCGCGACCGACACATCACTACGACAGACGTAGCATAAAAATGTCCACGAACACAGATGAAGAAGAACTCATTCCTAAAAAAGGTACCACTTCAGTAAGTTCAGTTGTATGGAAGTGGTTCGGGTACAAGCAGTCAGACATAGAACAAACAACTGTTCTGTGTAAGGTCTGTAGAAAGACGATCGCTGCAAAACATGGGAACACAACCAACTTATTCCAGCAACTGCGACAGAGACATGCAGTGGTGGAAGCTACATGAAGCTAACTTCCCAAGACTGAGTTATCTGGCCAATAAATATCTCTCCATTCCTGCCACAAGTGCCCCTTCGGAGAGGGTTTTCAGTACGGGGGGTAATATTGTAACATGCCAAAGAGCATGCCTCAAGCCAGAGGCAGTAGACAGGCTTGTCTTCCTCGCGAAAAACCTGTAGAAAACTTCCTAGAAAGTTAAAGGGATGTTATTTTGTTTGAGGGTATTTTTTTATTATCATTATTTGTTGTATTTGTATCATTCAACATGATGATATTTTTAAATGATGAAACCAGTCTGAAGTGATTTTTTTGTTTGATGCCAACAGCAAGACTAACCTGGAATTCATGCATTGCAATTATTCTAATGGTTAACTTCCTGCAAGCTATAACAAACCCCAATATTACCTTTCCTGAAATCAACATCCTGTAACCTGATTTATTTTGGACATGTTTTTCTATTTCACTATTATATTAAAAACATATAACAATATATATTTTATTTTTAAAAATGTTTAACTGATGACCTATAGCCTTTATATTTTGTATTGGAACATAACAAAAACATATTTCATAAAACAGTTTTACATTTTCAAAGATATATGAGGCTTTATACTTTCTTTTAATTTTCTTTGAGATATGATTTGTTGAAATGATTGACAAAAGTGTATAATGTATATTTTTCTCACATAACTAAATATGCAACCCAAATAATTCTGGACAGTGATATTTAATAGGTTTTCTTTCCATGCAGGTGCATTTGGAAATAATAGAAATGTTGAAATTGAAATGAAACCAGATGCAGTCAACATTTCTAACATCAGATTCAGTATTGGCATTTTTTTCATCCGTGAACCTTTGTTGGAAATGTGGATGATCCCAAAATAAAATGTCAAGTCCTCGCATCTTTACTCCAACCATCTGTTTTATTCTTCTTTTTACTCGCCATACTTAACTCACCACATCCAGGAGGATCCATATCATTTCAGAAAAAAATCGAGGTTTAAATCGAAAATCGTCCATTAGTTAGAAAAAAATCGAGGTTTTATTTTTAGGCCAAATCGCCCAGCCCTACTCTGAATTAATAATCAAATATGTTTCCTTTCTTTACTACTGGATGAAATTACAAAATGTACCCATCATTTTCCTCATGCTAGTATAGCCACATCAAATTATCAAACCACCCCCCGTTAAAAATGTCCCCCCCACATTCAGGATGCTTCCTACGCCCATGGTTTTTGGAAGTAAGCGGTAGGTGCATTTCAAATTCTTTTTATAGGGTTTTGTTTGAACAGGTCAATTAAAAAGGGTCAGTAGAAATAACGTGATTATATTTTTAAAAAATAAAAATGATATCACTTACCTAAGCATGCAGGTATTAAAAACGAATTCCACAAATAATAATAAATAGTTCTGACTAAAATGTGGCTTACAAGATGGGTTTATAACTATTTAAAATTGTTATGAAAAAAGGTTTCCCCCGTCATTTAAAACCTTTTGGATTTGTTTCTCCATTCAGACTCATGGCAGATACTTCTGCTCTGCACCACTGTTTGTGCCTATTTATATATATGATTTGTTTAGTGTTGAGAGCTGCGCTGTTGACATTGGTGATACTGTGTACTATTATGTTTCTATTTGTGTTTGAATGTATGAATAAAATATATTGAAAAAACTAGGCAATAGCAACTCGTACACTTCAGATGTGTTTTCTTTGCCTGCACCAGCTTCATGATCCATACAGCAAACACACGTAACATGAAACACAGGAAGTGCTCCACTACCTGAAAGGGTCAGGGGTTGAGACAGCTCTTTGGTCCGGTCCCGTGCTTCCACCGTGACCTACTGACTTTCAGCCGGAGAGGAACGTCTCACCACGCCTCCTCCAAACTCATTTTCTACACAGAGGGAAGAAGAAGACGTGCGTCAGTAAAACCATTTGCAGCAGAATCACATTCATACACAGCCATGACAGGATCAGAAAGTTCTCCTTTGACTCTCTGCTCATGAATAGTCATATAGCATCAGCTATGCGGCACACGCCAAGTGAGCGTTGATTTCCGCCATAACGACGGCCGCTTGTCGTGTGCGATAGGCTTGGCAACATGGGGGTAATTAGCTAGATCTATCATCTTCTGCAGGAAGTGGGGACAAATATAGCTAATGATCCGTGCCTGCCTCCATGATTTCTCTCCTCTGCTCTTCACCCTTAGCTGAGTTAGAGGAGGAGAGGAAAGGGGAGGGGGAGAGAGAAACGCGTCGATGCCATGCTTTAAAAAAAAATATAGTCTTAATGCAGACTGAGAGGAGTAAAGATGGAGGTGTGAATGAACATAGTACGCGCTGGAACACTGCCTGCGTTCCCTGACTCTCTTTGTTTCTCTCCATCCATTGCTGCTAATTGAGAGAACGTATGGAAGAGAACAGATGAGGTGTTGAGGGTGTATAGGGACCATCACAAAGACTGAAGGCCCCCATAGGGAGTCTACCAGACGGCCCATTACACGTACACAAGTACACACCAACGCACACACAACCACACGCAGCTATTCCCAACCTATTTCAAAGCGGCTTCAATCAAAAACAATAGCTGGTCCCTCAGGACAAACACAACCATAGGCACACACTGTACGAGTGGCTGGGGTGCGCTATGTAAAAGGAGCGGAGGTTGTTACACGCATACGCAGACTTTACTTTGAACCAGCAGGGGTTTCTTTACCCTTCATCTCAGACGCACACACCTCTGCTTTTACCTTTTGTCCACTTCCTTTGTTGTGTGAATCTTAAGCATGGGCCAGCTGGAAACAGTGTGAATGTGTTGTGACGGGAACAACGCAAACAATGGAAAACTCAAACTATATTTGAGTTTTACTACCATGGTCCTGCTGTCTTTAACGCATTTGTTTTTGGTGTCAAAAGCTGGTTTGTATTTGAAAACGGCCACGATGCAAGCCAAGTGCTTTGACGCGTGTATATAAATATTTTTGAAAAATCGGATCAACTGGTGTATCCGTTGGTAAAATAAAATGTTTTATCATTTGTCAGTGTATTTTTTTGCAAAATCCAATGTGAAATGATTTCTTTGAAACATTGTGACATAATTCCATCTGATTTCATCCCATGCGACACAATCAGACACACACACACACACACACACACGCACACACACACACACACACACACACACACACACACACACACACACACACACACACACACACACACACACACACACACACACACACACACACACACACACACACACACACACACACGCACAGCCCTGTGGTCATTATAATCGCAGCAAGTGATGACTCTGTCCTCTGATGAAGGTTTTCTTGTGGAGGCTGATGACAAATCACAGCTCTCTGATTCTTCATCAGAACACAGTTCACATTCCCCCCGTATATCTCTATATATAAAAGAAAGTGTGTGTGTGTGTGTGTGTGTGTGTGTGTGTGTGTGTGTGTGTGTTGGGGACAAGAAACAAACAGAGAGAGGAAGAAGACCAAAGGTAAAGCATAAAATACAATATAACAACACAGCTCACTCAGTTTCTTGTGTGCGTGGCATTCAAAGAATCTACTGTGCTAGTTTCAGCACCAAGGACAGAGACAGACAGAGCGCAGCAAGGGGAGAATCGGCCTCAACTGCAATGGGAGAGCCCTCAAAGAACAGCAAACACACACACACACACACACACACACACACACACACAACATCTCAACACAATACACACTAGGGCTGGGTTTGAAATAAAATATTTGTATATGAATAATCTCATATTGATTAAAACAAATTTCCAGGATTGGTTCTTTAATCGTTTTTTAGCAGTTGTGTGAAGCTTTAACTTGATTAGCGCAGTTTAATCAAAACATGCAGGGATCTAATCACCTGAATGCTAAGCAGCAACAACACATTCATTTCAGTAGTGGAATCAAATCCATTCATATCGGCCGCTTGTGAATCTCAATCAATTTGTCAAATCAGTGGTGAAACGCAGCCATAAAACACACAGATGTTTACAGACTAACATGTGCACAAGGACAAGCTATTCTTTTATGTCCCCTCTGTTACAAAAGTAGATTACATGACAACGTGACTTGTTTTCAGCCCAGAATCCGACAAGTGTGTGTGTTTGCTTGTGTGTGATTTTCTCAGTATATTCCTTGGAGAACGACACAGAATGACACGTGCCTGCCCTTTACTGGGCTCCTGTATCTATCAAAGTCACACTGTACATAGCCTGGGATGACACACACACACACACACTGAAACCCTATTGTATTTATGTACACTGCAGTACGGAAAGTGTGCTGTGACATATTCTGTGATACGTCAGACATGACAGGCATTTTAGACAAACACAACATACAGAAGAATCCAATCACAGCAATCATATAAAGAAGCACACATACGGCACGTGAGGACAAGGGGCACACATTACAAGAGAGATCCATGCTTTATTCATGTGATGTGTTTACACACACACACACACACACACACAGCAATCTCTTTCTCCCAGGCTCTGAGAGTGACTGGGGCTGCCTGACCTACATTCTCACAGATATGTATACAGGCAGAGAGGAGATGAAATCTCACTCTCTATTGCTCTCCCTCTCTCTGTTCTATACCCTGCCTTCTTCTCAGTGCCTGTTCGTCTGCTTTAGGACACACACACACCAATACACACGGCTGAGGGGAAGTAGCGACTATGACCTCTTGGCCTGAATGCCCTCGTGCTGCTGCTGAACCTAGATGTGTCAGAGTATAGCTCCATGTGTCTGATGGATGTCAGGTGATAACAGCATTGGTGTATCCTGTCTTTCCACTGCGTCATATGGAAGATCCTTCAATGACCCTGCACTCTTTTTAAATGTACATAAAAGCCAGCTCCTCAGGGAGAGAAGCTGGTGAGATGAGAGGAGTGTTGAGATGCAAAGAAGAGCACAAGATAACTTGGTGAGGAGAACTGAAATCAATGTGCTTATGTACACATACCGTATGTGTTGGTTGGGTGATGGTCTGTTTTGAGCTGCTCTGATTACCCAGAGAGAAGGAGATGGGCTTGGTCTGATAAAAAGCCAGCTGGCAGATGTATCCAATCCTCCTGAAACTGTTCTATGGAAAATAATGTTTCTAAAGGACTGCAAACACGATAACAAAAAACACAAGATAACCAATAAGGAAGTACTATTTATAACTTAAGGGATCTTTTTTACCCAAACACTTCTCTCTTCAATTGTACAGCTGTGCTAACATCAGATACGTTGCTATGCCTCATATTATTTTACTTTGTTATTTAGCTGGCTGTATATAGGAGTCCCTTCCATGTCCGGACAGTGCAGAGGTTAGTAATTCACAAGGCTTTCAGTTGATACAAAAAGAGCTGATCCACTATATCCCTTAACTAAACCAGCCCAACCCTCTTAATCCCACTGAGGCATTACACTGACCACACTCCAAACAGTGACACAGCAGAAAGCAGCAGGAGGAATCCCATGGCCCTGCATCTAGACAACTTTAATATCTTCTTGTGAGTAGAGAGAAAGTACAACAGGAAGCAGATGAAAAAACAGATCTCAGTATGTTTTCATTTCCTAACGGCGTTTTTAGTCTAATGATACTTTTATTTCATAATGCCACTTTTTATGACAGTGCCTCAGTTTATCGCCAATCTCCCCAGCCTCTAATAGCAGAGCTTAACCACTGCCAGCCAGATGTGTGCTACCAAAGCCCGGGAGGAACAGCGTCCAGGCGGTGAAGATAGTTTGACCCTGTGGCCTAACTGAGTAATTCAAACTTCCAGGTCAGTAAACGATGCCATAAGCCCAAAAAAAGCCTTTTTTAGACTTAAATTGGGAAAAATACAGCTGTAAATCAGAGGGTATTTATTTTGTAGGTAAACCCACTTCCAATTAGGGCTGCTCAATTAATCGTATTTTAATCGCAATTATGATTATGGCTTGCAACGATTACGAAAACAACGTAATCGAAATAATCGATTATTTTTTTATTATTACTTTTTTTTTTTTTTTTTTCAGTTGAATTCTACTTAAAGTTCAGGGTAATCAACTGTTAAAAACATACTGTTCCATTTTTTTTCTCCAATAAATTGATGTTTTCAAAGTAAATGGATAATCGTTTTTAATAATCGTGATATCAATTATTGACCCAAATAATCGAGATTATGATTTTTGCCATAATCGAGCAGCCCTACTTCCAATACAAACACTTTAGTAGCCCTTATTTAACTCATGAGGCTCTGAAAGTTGTAGAATGATAAAGAGTATGGTAGGATAGGTATTGCTACACACTGATCATTTGCAGAGATGTCATGGTTACCAGAAATGTCGTGATCAATACCAACAGCAAATAGAGCCATGGTTAAATATAAGTAAATTCACTTAAATCCCACGTACTTCAACATACATTCCTATATTATTATTAACATACTGTTTGTTGTAAAGAAGTTAAAGGGGCCCTAATCTGATATCCATGTTGCTGTGAAGACGTCTTCAAACAACTGTATTGTTTCAAGTTCCTCTGTGAAAACTACATTTCAGAAGATTACATTTGTGTAATACAATTTTCATCTGAGTTCTAGATATTTAGGGTAAACTGAATGACATTTTAAGCAATGTCTACTTCTTTTCAAAATCGTAAAAAATGTTTTATCAATGTCAAGAAATTGAACGATTAGACTACAATGCTGCTATAGTTATACAAATGTATATAGAGATATAAAAAAAAGAAGTCAGTGGATTTGGCTCGCTTCTTTTTACGATTTTTATGCATCGTCCCTTCTATTTTCTATCCTCACTTATCTCATTGAGCATTGTGAAGCTACAGCACGAGGAAGGTCTGGACCAACGCAGTGACAACCACAGAGCAAACT